TGAAAAATTGCCGCATTTGGGACAAAGACCAACCCGAAAGGATTGAAGAGCTRCCATTTCATTCAAAAAAAAAAGCAACGGTTAGTTTTATAATATTACACAAATTTTATCGCAATTTCAAATTGCAACTTTGTAAAATAAAGTAAGTCCGGTTTCATGTACTATTTGAAGTAAAATATATTTCTCTCAGATAAAACTTAACTTTAGTGTCATTACCTATATCTAACCACATCTAGATTAAAACTTAAAACAACTACAGTTAAATATCCTTAAAGACAAGATTTTCTGTTAACATTTGTTTTCYTTTATTAAATTATAGCTTCACAAATCCCCATCAAAAAGATTTTCTTTTCTTTGAAACCAATTTCAGAGCCATTCCCCCAGCGATGGACTCCAAACATTGATTCTCTTTCTTAGTGGTAGCAAAGTGATTTTTAAAAATKCGAAGTCGTTTAAAATGTACAGAARTTGTTAGAAGGAGCTKTTGTTTAAACTATACTCCATCGTATATAAAAATCGGTTTGACCGAATGACTTGAGATTTGTAAAGTACACCCAGCACATGCAAAGAGATGGAATCATATATTATCAATCAAAAATTCCGAAATTAATTTTTTTGTTTCAAATAAGATCCGAAAACGTGGAGGAWGTGCCTGCCCATTTTTTCGAGGCGGGGTTGTTGAGAACGCTGTAACTCACACGCGATACTTCTAGATCAAATTTTACATTTATACTATAATAAATATATGCTATAAAATGTTAAGCATTTTCAATACATTGAAATCTTTCAAGCAATATTATTAACTACGTASTTTGTACTTGGTATCATTGGCTGCTAAATAAATAGTGAAATTCATAGTTTGCTTTTTGAGTGAGCTATGTATAGAGGTGTTCAGGTTCTAACCATCGCGATAATTTTTGTTATCTATGTGGAGAACTAACTTTTTAATCTGAGTATCGTAACTTCACATCGTTAATTAAATAGTGCTATTAAGACAATTTTGGATTGTAAAGCATCAGGATGAATCCCGGTTTCCACATGTAAATACAATATAACGTATGGGAGACTACTATTAGATCGGGCTAAACAAAAATCCAGACATGGCTATATCAATGATTTTGAACTTACTAAAGGATCATGTGTCATGTAATAGTCACTATTATTGTTTGGCTTAATCAAAAGCATTACAAMCAAGCCTAAGCACACTACTCAATATTCATACTTGTCTGTGGCCAACAGACTCTACCTATATAGTGCCGAACTGCCTGTGCCAATGTCAAAATAAAATTCTAGAAATTGTCAATTTTTCTTTTGCTGATCTTTAAGCGAAGAAATTATTGTTTAGTTCCAGATTCGAATAAATTAATGACTATGTAAATAAACTCGCAATTTCTATTCATTTATTCCGGTTTAGTAAACTTATCGCAATAAATTCAAAAATAATGGCCATAATAAAATTTTATTCGCGTTTATATTTGTATTTTTATAATATGCAACTAAACTATAATAAATATTAGCAAAGAATAACCATTTAAATATTATATGTCTCGTAAAAAAAATACGACAAAAATAAAGTATACAAAAATTTATTGAAATATACGATTTCGTTAACTTAATAAATCTGGAAATTATTTTGTAAGAAAAATATTTACTCAAATAAATTTTGTTAAAAATTATAATGCAATTATTTTGTAATTACCAAAAAGCGAATTATTCGAAAATTAAATTTTGACAGAACAGTACAAAATTAAAACAGAGTCTCCTTACAGAAATTATACATTTTAGTTAATATGAAAAAAAATTTTATATACATACATATGTATATACAGTCTGCATCTAAAAGTGTTTAAACTTCCATTGTTCCCGCTAAACTACTACATATTCGGTTTCTGCAGCCCTTCCGAACKGTTTATTATAGAAATTTCAACTTATGTACTTCTCCTAGTTTGAGACCACATGTAAGCTTTATTTTATGAGACACTCTTACATTGTCATATAGGCGTACTCCGCCATCGCTACCCCACTAGTATATGCACTCACACGTATACTCACATTCGCAAATGTGTCTCTGAAAAGCTCAATTCGTGCAGACTAATTGAATAATAAGAGTAATGTACATTTGCCAGCTGCAATAGAGTTGTCAATCTAATCGGCAATTATCGGTTGGTCGGTGGGTATGCAACGCACACCAATACACTCAGCGGTTCGCTGCTTTACTGGAATTTGTGCCAAAAGAAAATAGTGCAAATGTGCATTATATAGTATTTGTACCTACCTATATATACGTATATGGTAGATAGGAAATCAGTATGGCTAATAAAGGTCTCGAAATACCATTAAAAATTTGCCCACAGCGATAACTTCTAAGGTTAACCCATTATGCTAGTATTGGTGGAACTTTAACGTGGTTATAAGCTACTTTAATAAAATTATAGGTACTGAACATATATCCAAATCCAAACGTTGTTACGTCTCAATAAAGTCATTTTAAATTAAGAAATATAGTATTTTTTATTTTCTTTCCAACATATCTCGGATTCGTATTTAGTATTGAAACTGATTAAGCGATTGTGAATATTTGAYACAATCATTTGATCTCATCACTCTCTCCATTTTCAGAAGAAACCATTTGGGGAACTCAGCCCTTCAMATTCAAAATGTTTAGATTACGGTGCTGGTTTCCGATTCCTCAATATTTTTAAGAAAACAGTGCAAAATAATTCTGTCCAAGACTTTGGTACCAGTCATTTATACATTTTTTCGGCTACATCAAATTTAAGGGCAACCAGTGTGACAGTAAAGTTCAAAACTTAACTTTACCCTCTTTATCGCTCGTTCACGCTAAAAAATTTACTGCAGTCGAACTTCTATATARCGAATCAAGAAGACAGAAAACCTGCCTTATTTGGTATATTTGTAATATAAAATTTTTGATGAAGATTTTATATAAAATGTGCTGAAATATCCAGTAATATTTTCTTTCTGTAGAGCTGGAATGATACCTTGATGCATTGACTGTAAAACTGAGGTCATATTTGGAGGGGAATAACCAAATTTCAAATAATTTTTGACTTTATTAGGATTATTGGGATAATAAACTGTGCCATTGATTTTTGCAGTTTTCGAAACACTCTTCATAAGCAAGTATTGAGATGGCTTTCAGGGAATTTTGTTTTATCTCKTAGATCGACTGAAAATGGGTTCCACGGAGCGGCAATTTCAGTTTGGGGAACAAGAACAAATCACACGGATCCAAATGTAGTGAATACGGTGGTTGGTCGATGGTATTCATTGTGTTTTTTCCTTTAATTCGGTCACAATCGTGGCTCGATGCGATGGTGCATTATTATAGTGTAAAATCAATTTTATTGTCCTTCCACAATTCTCATCTACTGTTATATTGCTCCTCCTGAATATAGGATCGGAATTCGTAGGATCAGGACATATCCAAGGAGACCACTTTATGGTATTCTTTAAAAAAAATCAGCTTTATCGGGACGAGTAGAATAAGAACGCGTGTCATACCCAAAATATCCAAAAAAAACAAAAAAACAATCGAATCGACTCCTAGAGATGCTGTCTTGAGATCTATTTAACACAGACTTCGTGGTAAACTACTTAATATACTCTGTTCAGGGTATAATCAACTATTGATTATGTATGCCAACYATGTAATCATTTCTTAAATTCCATCATTATCATTTACATTTTTCAAAAGTTCATTAGCAAACTCAAAAAACTCAATAACAACGTAATGTCATTCATTAACCCTCCAATCTATTATTCATTTTTCGAACGCCTTCTCCTTCCCACACACTATCACACTCATTCACTTCGGTGATGGTTATGTTCTATTTTCCCTTTTGACATATTCAATACCGTAAAATTAACTTCTCGTTGTTGCTGGTTTTGTTGGTGCTCGTACTCATTGCCAATTGTTCTATTAATATGCCACATTTGCGCTTGCCACAATTTAACGATTTCCTCTAAACAGCAAATCAAAGATATCGAAAAAAAGAAGGCCAACCAACAAGAAAATAAATATCAACAGAACACAAAAGCAAAACGTTTTTCGTTTAAAACGTCGCTAATACCAGCTGCTGTTGTTGCTGTTGTACCCCATACTTGCACTACACACACGAACACTTACGACTGTCACAAGGCGCACAGCTAAATCGCTTACAGCTTGTGGGGGCAAGTCAATAAGCGACTCCATGAAATTGCACAACTACAACAAATTGTATGCACACAACAAAGCGAAAAAGCAAAATGCCGACGCATGCGCCGTGCCAATGGCAGCACAGCAATTGGCCGCCAGGCTCCGCCTCCATTGTTGCATGCGAACTGCTTACCAGCATAGGTTAGCATTGAGATATGTATATTGTAAGTAGCAGTAAGTGCCGTAAGTGCTGCCAAGTTTCGGTAAAAATCTATGAAGCTTACAAGAAGAACCTGTTTCACGCTGCTTGCTCCTCTACAGACTGTCGCATGTAGCGAAATGCTTCATTGCCTTTTGAAACGGTATTTGGAAAAGGGGCGGCGCTTATTGCAATGTGTTTTCTCGATGATGTTGTTAGTGCCGYTGTTAGTGTGTTGGCAATAATGTTCACATTAAAAGGTACTCAAACAAATTTCACGTGTTTGCTGCTGTTGTTGCTTTTAGTAATATCACTATTACCGTAGGTTAGGGCGGAACGCTGAGTATTTACTTGCTAACGAGCGCGACGCTCGGACAACTACAACACAGCAGGAAGGAAGCCGTAAACTGGTATAACAAGCCGCTACTGGTGCCACCAACAKCAAAAGTAATAGCAACAACAGCGACAACCACTCTATTCGCCGGTGCCTGGGGTGAGTTGTGTTCGGCACACTTGTGTTGGTAGTGGTGGTGGCGGCAGCATTGTTATTATAGCTGCTGCGCTCTACTCTATCGGCTGGCGGAGAATCAAAAAGCGGAACGTTTTATTATTAAGCTGCTGCTGCTGCTCTGGTGCGGTTGCAATAATCGAGACTCGCGTGCGTTCGCACAAAACCACTTCATAACTGTTTGGCTACACGTTTAAGTTAGTTTACGCGCTGTTCRCTTTTCACTGCTCGCCTACTCAACTCGTAATAACGGTTTAAGAACATATGCACACACACTTTAACAAGTTCGCATAAGCGCATGTGTGTGTATATGTAGTTGTGCGTAGTCCGCGACATATTTGTGCAATTGGCGTTGACAGCGCTTTTTGTCAGCGCAAGCGTTTGACACCAAACACATTCGAGACTTATACACGCTCRGCGAGTGGCACGGCAATTGGCCATTCGGCAAATTAGCTTACGTTCAAAAGCGTTTAAGCACTTGCTGTGACGCGTTCCGTTAAAAGTTGTGAAGTTGCGCCTAAATTAAGTGGTAATTTCGTGAAAAGACAAAAAACAAATAAAAGTGTTTGTGCAAAATAACAYAAAATAATAAAACTACTTACTTTAAAAGTATAAGAAAAACCGTTAATTGTTCTAATATTCTTCGAAAATTAGTTGAAACMATAATTTTTTTGAATTAAAACTACTTTTATTAAAGTTAAACGCGATTTATCAACTCCTTCGGTATAAATAGTAAGTGCAGTGTTTGTGTGTCCGTGAGTTTACACTAAATTGGCGCCACAACACCTCACCATGTCATCAACACACGAACATGAGGATGAGGAGCGAGACGATGTGGAGGATGAACAGGAGATTCACGTTGATGTGGATTCGGATTCACGTATTTCATGCGGCAGTGGATCCGACGTGGATATGGAGGGCGGCAGCTGCTATGATGAAATGGAAACGCCGCTAAGGTTGGCCTTAACTTGTATTCATAGGCCTAGCAAACTTTGYATTGAATACTTATTTGTGTGCTAAACTTATTAGAAGATATTTATTCATCATAWACATACATGTGAGATACCTTTAAGTTGGTTCTGCATATGGATATTCTACTTCCAGTTGTCATACATGAAATGAAAATTTATATCATCCAAATAATCTTTAGCTCAAAATGGATTAAAATTTGGAAAAWAATTCGGTTATAACCGAACATTTTATGCTCTTGCAACTTGCAAGGATTAATGCCAGTTTAGTACCTTCAGTTACATAAGGCCCTATTTTATTCATTCTAAGAACACATATGCACCGTTATAAGAAAACCGCGCTCTCTCGATTTTAATAAGATARCTCACATATTGCCCAATATATGCGGTACAAAGTTCAAAAATCTTTATATTAGGTATGTATATTGGGGGTAAAGAAAATATTGACCCTATTCAACCCATTTGTCGCACAGACATACTACCATCAGGAAAAGATTCTCAMTGAATTTCAATTMCAGATCTAACAGATTCACCAATAATTTCGGGTAAAASTCAACTGTAGGTACTGGGGTCCAAATATTCGGTACCTATGGGCTTGAACCGTTTGATTGGATTTGGCCAAATGTTGACCACAGGTTGCTATTCTCTAAATGCATTTCTCTGGCAAAGTCCCGTTATATTAAGTGCTTCTTGATTAGTACAATCGAAAGCAAAGAATGAGAGGGAATTTAAAATTGTGTTATCTGAGAAGTASTCGTGGCTGTTGTTCGATTTCGCCCACTTTCATACTGTAATATTAAAAATTAAATGTCAGAGAAATGCCACATTCCAAATTTGCTTCAAATCGGTTGGGCAGATCTCGAGTTATGTGTTTTGACCAAAAAGCGGGTGGCGCCATAACCATTGTCTAATTTTGACCTCAGTTCCATTTAATCCCCTTCATACCATCTCATGGGCGTGTTTATTTATTGATGTATCGCGYTATAAGTAGTTTTTAAAAGTACCATTATATGGGTAGTGAGCAGAGTTATCATCCGTTGTCATCCACTTTCACGCCGTCGGTCGTAGTTCTTATAATATCTACGCCAGGTGAATTTGGTAGTTATAGCTTAAGTGGTTTAAGTAATATGTACTTTACACTAATTAGCGGGCTCACTCCCCAATCTTTCAAAGTTGTTTGCCCACAGGTGTCCCTTGCTACTGCAATTCTCTGTGCCAAATAAGAGTTTTATATCTTAATTTAGTGCTTAGTTATGGCATGTTATGGGTTTTCGGTTAATGGCGTTTTGGCTTTACCCCCACCCTCGAACTCGCCATTTTTTGGCAATGGAAGGCGTATACCAAGTTTTATCAAGATATTTTAATWTTACTTAAGTTACAGCTTGCACGGACGACAAATTTCCTGAATTATAGATTTCAAAGCCAAACGCTTGTATGTAGCTCAGAATTTAAACCCGTTTCTCAAGCTTTAGAAACAGGCATTTTTCATACCGTAATTCTTCAATTTACGTTTTGACTGACTTTGGAACTATTATTCCTTCTTTATCTACTATTTAATAGTATTTTATTACCTTTCAATTCGACCCTTTCATTAGAAAAACTATCTGTCCGTTGAATCAAAAAATCGGGAGAAAGTTGTAAAGAAATAATAATGAAGATATCGTGTTTCATTTAGACGTTATTGGAGTTCAGACTGCACATTTTAATATATAAATTTAGGTGATGAGAATAAAATAAATGGTATCATCTAGATGATTTTTTCTTTGCAGTCCAGCTTTCGCTAGAGTGAAGTTGGAACATCACCGGAATTTCATATTTACCGTCTTCACAAATATTATATTTAACAGAATCGAAGCGCTTTGTCGATTTATGAGGGTATTGTTCATAAGTAATAGCAAACAAACCTAACCAGGCCATAACAATAAATTTAGATTGCGTTTTAAGAGAAAATCCGATCGTTCAATGAAAAGTGAAATCCAAACAAGGGCTTTTTATGATATCTATATTTAGAAATTTGTATGAAAGAAAAAGTCGTTTACTTAAAATGAATTTCTCCAAAAAATCACATTCAAGATTTTCGAAACCATGCTTAGTGACACAAAACATCATGATCCATTTAGTTGTCCCAAAGTCAACCACGTTATTATACATTGTTTGRTTATTCACTTTTATACCTAGAAAACCTTACATATTTTAAATCGCTCATATTCACATAAACTAGAACTCAGAAACGCCTAATGGCGAAATTATGTTAGTCAAATGCTTACAAATTCTTCAACAATTTAAAAACTTAATAAACGCCTGTATAATTTGTAAATTTTCTAACAAATTAGACAAACGCGATCAAAACAAAATGCGATGAGGAAGAAAAATTAATATGCTGTGAACGCAGCGGGTGAGCTAAAACGCTGAGCAACAAAGCAAGACGAGCAATTTTTCTAGTTATGCCACATTCAGGGCGACAAAGTGTTTTAACGGTATATATTATCGTTATATATGTATATGTTGTGTACCGTTTCTTCTATGTGAATTCTTTCTTGAATCTTTTGAGGCCTTGTGGTTGGCTAATTCTGCTGAGAAGTAACAAATTGAAAAGAGTAATGACAGTTTAGATTTGAACTAAATTTTGATGGGGTGTCTATTTTGATGTACTAAATTTTATTCTACATAGTATTTTAGGGCTGGCCAAAAMCTAATAAATAGATTTCATGGTTTTGAAAAAAAATGCCAGCTTTTGAGTATATGAATTTTTGAATTGAAAAAAAAAAAATTACACGGTGGTGCATTGTTTAGAAACATCTATGATCTACAAGAATTCTTCTATTTTAAACARAAACAGATTTTTACGTGTTATTTATATGGTAAACTTTGACTGCTCATCGTTACGTCTAAAATTAATTTTTCCTTGCAGGGATATATAATATTTTATAATATTTTGGTTT